GAAACATCTATTACATTTCTGTATACCAATTTTATTTTTTTTTTCCCCATTTTCTGTATAGATCCAAAAAATGGCCAAGTGAGTGCTACAGACTTGTTAGAACAGTTGTCAGTTTCTCTTACTGATTTTGTATTTTGCTGCTTCAAACAAGTGTTCTCCCCCAAGGTTTTTCATCCCCTCTAATATTAAAGGGGAAAAATCTCATGACTGATGTTTAACCCCAGCAAGACAGAAAGCTTTAGGATTAAAATGTGTAATTCCAACTTGTAGATGGCTAGCGTACAAGAACACAAAGTTGAGTCTGTCTGTTTACTGGCTTACTCATCTTTTTGAATGATAATTTAGACTTCCAACTGTTTTGAGTTGAGATTCAGCCCTTTAATTACATATGTTTATGTATAGTAGCAAACTTGAAGACATTATGGTGGAGTGTTCTCTACTCTTGGTAATGACCCAACTATCACTCGAGCGTTCAGCGCCAGCTCTTAGGAGCCAGTTTCACTCATTCTTCTGTGCTTTTGTACTTCCCAAACTATTCTCTCTGTCTAAAACTTCTACAGTGTTTCCAGTAATTAGCAGTAAAATATTTTGGTAATTATCAGTAACTGTGTATTAGAATATTTATTCATCTTAATAGATTTTTGTTGTTGTTGTTTGTTTCCTAGCTGTAGGTGAAAGACATTCACAAACAAGTTTTTATTCACGTTGCAATCATGACGGGAATGTTGTTTATCCCATACATTTGTATACAGCAGCACATGAAGCATGTGGGTGTGCTAAATATCAGCAGACTTCAGTTACTTTTATGTACTTGAGAAGGATGGGTAGCACACCACTTTTAGAAATACACTGGTCCTCCACTTCTTTCTGAAACTTTTTACTTCAGAAGAGAAGGATATGAACATACTCAGTTTTAACCTTCCACAGGGAAATTAAATCTTTAACCGCCTTTAACTGAATATTAATAAAACTCATTAAGTTTTGATAGATTTATTTTTAATAGCATCCTTCAGTGATAGTGAAATGGCATTTTTGCTGAGGGTTTTAAAAATGTTTCCAGTGCCATTTTCAATTACTAAGATTTTTTTTTATTACCTTCAGTTGATTTAGTTAATCATCTGTAATGAAAATTCAAGAGAGTAAATACTCTTTGGTAGTTACAGAGCTTGGTATATGTGTCCATATGATTTGTTCTTGTTAATAATGTGCATCATCACTTTGAGGACTGTTTGAAAAAAAAAACATAGATAGTACAAATAATAACATCTATATATTGGACAGATTTACATAATCTACACGTTAATATATAATTATTCTATTATATATAGTATACTATATATAGGTAAAGACCATATTATAGATAGCATTTGGACATAGGTTTACTTTGGTTAGTTCCAATTTTTGCATGCTTGAGTTGGGAAACTTAAGTTAATGCCATTTTAATGGATGCCTTTTTGTATGTGTTTTGTATGTATTTGCAATTGGAAAATGAAAGGTGAAATTAAAAATCTTTGGCTCCAAAACAAGCACTGGAGAAGATGTGCTTTTTAATTGGTACAGACATTTTTGCAGGTTTGACTCAGTACCTTTTTGCCTTCAAATTGTCCTAACACAGTCACCTCCCTTCTCTGTGTCTGGCAGCTTTCTTTACCTTCCTTCCCCTGAACTAGCTACTGTAGTTCAGCTGTACTCTTGCTATCCCTCAAGTTTTTCTTTCTCACACAGGTTCCAGTCTTTTTCCTCACCCATTTCCTTTCTTCTCCCCTTCTTCCCTGGTCTTTTGTTCCTGACATCTCTTCTGTAAATAACTTGCTGTATGCCGTCTTTCCGTGTTGGATTTTGCCTCAGTGAGGTGGTTTCTTTTCCATATTGTCTGAGGAATAGGATGAGGCATTATGCATATAAGGAGAGAGAGCTTTCCAATTAGCAGGTGTGGAGGAAGGAGATAGCTGTAGCCTCTGGATTATACTCAGTGCATAGATATTCAATGATTTTATGCTTTAGTAATTGTTACTGTCATTTTTTACCCTCCTCCTACTGCACTCTTATCCCTCCCACATGTAGTGTGGCCAGATGCCTTACATTTTCACAGGAATACTAAAAGGATATCAAAGGTCTTGGTTTGCCAAGTTTTAAGTCTCGTCTCCAAAAAGTAGTATTTTCCAGCAGTGTGCAGCTTTAGGCAGACACCCAGGAAAGAAAATTTCAGCCTACATGATTGAAGTGTGATAGGATTAAAGATGAGAGGATGGTTTTGTCAGAATGAGAGAATCTTAGAGAGACAATGCTTATAGTCTCTTCTGTTATGAATGTGGCCCAGCATATTCCTTAAAGCTACAGCTGGGGAAGTTAAGAATACAAATAGCCTGTTAACCCTAGCCTCACTGTCATCATGATCATAACTTGGACTCCAGCCATATCCCAGAAGAAGGGTGTTTCTTTGATCTCATGAGTGATATTTGCACCCAGCTACAAGCCTGGTTAAGTATCTTAAGCACTTCATCAGGCTCCCCAAGTTCCTGTCATCTGCTTCTGTCTTCCTTGTTTCTCTTCCAGCTTTTGTGTTAAGTTCCTTTGTCCATCCTGCAGTAGCTCTTTCCTTTAAATGTTGAGGACTTCTCTCATGCCATCCAAGGTCCAGATGAGTTGTTAAAAAGCAGTGAGGTTGGATTACTGTTTCTCTTTTGAGTCTCCACAGTGTATGCAGGTTTGTTAAATGTAATGTCATCTCTTTGACCATTCAGACTTACGTCATATTTTACAGATGTATGGTGAATATAAAGGTTTGTGCATCAAGAAATACACACCTGTGTAGTGCAATATTTACTTTATTCCTCTTTTGTTTTTTATACATGTGTCTGTCAAGCTTCTGTGGTGTTCTGCTAAGCAGCAGAAAAAGATCCTATCACCAGACAGACATTCACTTCCAATCTTCTGTGCTTGTTCAGATAAAAAAATTGTGTGTACACCGAAGTTCTTAAATCAAGGCATCCTCACAAGGATACCCCCCAATATCTGTTCTTTCATGCCTGCATTAAGGATGGTCCAGAATAAGTTGGTCCGCTGATACTTGCTGTGGCTTTGTATCATGGAGACAGAGGCCATTTCTTAGATAATCGTGTCCCAAATTGTTTAGGTGTTCAGGCGTACAAATCAATGCCTTGAACTGAGGCTTTAAGCTCGTTATGAGCTAGTAATATTAAAGAGAATTGCTTTAATGTATTTTCAGTAAGCAGCGGCGTTTCACAAGATCAGCCATGAGTATGCATCATGCACAATTAACACCAGCAACAAAGGCCTAAGAGAGTGAGCAAAAGCGTGGTAGAGGGTACTTTCCTATTTTGGGTGTTCAGAAATTTGCTGATTCAATGCAATTTCTTGGAGAATATTTAAAATGCATTTCTCTAAATTGTAGATGATAATTGAGGTTTCAGGACCCTGAATTTGTGAAGAAAAAATATGTTGAGCTAATATAATTTATTTCTGTGAAAGAAAATGCCTTATGAAGTGGTACATGTCATATAACATGACTTCTGTAAAGTGTTGACATTAACTGGAATAAATAAAATGTAATTTAACAAGAATAAGCACAAGGTTTTATGCTGAAGAATAGTCAACTGCATCACTGAAAGGTGTGGGTCAACTGGTAGGTGGTAGCTCTACCGAAAGGAAGTTACAGTAGTTACTAAATGAACAGGAATTCTGTTGTCATATTGATTATTGATTGTTTTATGAACCTGATAAATCATTTTAGATCACACATTTGATCAGGATTAGCTTTGAACTAGTGATAGCATTCCAGAACTTGACATGTGATGTTTGTGTCTATGTCATCGTAGCTGCAGGAAAGCAAATGAGACTTTTTGAGAGAGTAACCTTAACTTCACAAAAATGTTTAAATATATTTGCACGAATAAAGAGTTCTAGTTGGTCAGTGTTTTGCAGATGTGATGTTTAGTGCAGCATGTTGCATCATAAAATGTAATACACAGTCTCCTGGAACCATTGCCTGAATTCCTAGTGCTGTGGTCTTGTGACAAAGGAATAATAGGCAGTCTAGTGGATGTCTGGAACTGTGTGACAAGGAAGATCTTGGATCTGAAAGCACAACCTGTGAGGACAGATTGGTTGAACTGATTTACGCCAGAGAAAACTGGAGAGAGATGAAATAGTGTTCAAATGTCTAAAAGGGATAGCTGTTGTAAAGACAAATTAGTCAATAGGGCAAGAAACAGTATGCTTAAATAATAGCAACAGTTGCATTAAATGCTAGTAAAAATCTTCCAGCTGTAAAGATAATTAATTTCCTTATAGTTGGAAGGTATCATTTGCTTACAGAGGTTTTAAAGTGACTATTTTTTGGGGATTATAGAAAGAGTTTAGAGAAACACTTAGAAATAACATAGGTAGAACTGATTCTGCCCTGGGGCACAAGGAGAACTAGATGATTTCCTGGGGCAGCCCCACTCTGTGTATGTGTGGTTTATCTATATTTAATAATCAGACTAGTTTCAACATCTGAATTTTCTCAGATAGGGTATTTTACAATAAATCTAATCCCAAAGTGACAGTAGCATGCATAATTGTGGCACGGTTACCATTGAAGGGAAAATGTCATATTCCTCCTGCCAGGTACAGATGGAAAAATATGCCGGTGGCTACTGCTGTTACCTTGGCATACTAGAGCAATCCGGGATCTAATACTCTTCTTACCCTCCTAACACAGACCTGGTTTGCAAATGGAGATCGCACTCCATATTTGGGCAACAGTGCAAGTTCCATCCATTCCTCTGACTGCTTTCTTCACTTTATAGTTATTGCCTGATACATTTTTTTTTCAAGTCCATAGTTATATTGCCATTTTGTGTTTCCTTATATATGCTGCATACTTGCTGGATAGGTATACATAAGCTTATATGTATTTTATCTAAGCAGTTTTATTTGCCCTTCACCCGTTAACTGGCAGTGTGTAATAAAGACAATGTCATGTGTTTCTCTAGAATGTCAGCTAATGAAAACAGAGCGACCAAAGCCAAACACATTCATTATCAGATGTCTTCAGTGGACCACTGTCATAGAGAGGACGTTCCACGTAGACACTCCGGAGGAACGGTGAGGGCTTTATTTTTGTTTTGTTTTCCATGTTCTTTACGCAGAAGCTTCGGGACGACAGTCTCTGCTGGGACTGCACAACGATCAGCACTTGGAACTGTGACATTCTGAGCACATCTGAACAGTTATTTGAAGAATTTGTAAGTCATCTACTGTGAAATATTATCTGAGCTCATAGCTAGTGTAAGAGTTGCCTGCGAGTAGGTGGGATGACTGTGTTTAAATAAGCCAAAACTATGTCATGATATGTCTCTGAAGTGTTAAATTTCAAACAATAGAAGCCTGCATTGAAGTATATTCCAGCCTCGCTGCCTTAAGTTTTCCTTTTATTCCTATTAATATGGTACTTTTTTTTGCATAGAAAGCAGTATGTTTGTTATAATTTATTTTATGTTTGCTTATTAGTTTTTCTTGTTTCAGTAAACATACACAAACTCATAACAATTAACTTCTTTAATGCACCAAGAGCATGTAGGAGACAGGGTATAGTGTACCTTACTAAAATGTTCTATACTGTGTCTGGTTACACGCACTGAGTCTTCCCCCCTGTGGGCATCTCTCCTGTTGAGACTCATACTGTGATTTAGCTTTATTCACATCATTTGTATCAAAAAATAATCAACAACTTTGGTTTTTTTGCTGTTTCTGTTTCATTAGTATGTTCCCTTAGTGGTGTGGGGTTTTTGGTTCTTTTTTATTCTGCCTTGCTACTACTCCATCCTCTCTTCTGTGTATGGGATGTAGTGCCTCCTACTGCATTCAGTAGTACCACCAGACTCCTCTGTATCCTTCGCTGGCTGAGCAAAAAGGAGCAGGTACCGCACTTGGTGCAGGGCTGTGGCGTGCTGATGGGCTGGCCGGTGCATTGGTGCCAGTTAGCCATCGCACAGAATAGCCATGGGCTTAGCTGCCTCTGCTTGTCCTTCTGCGGAAGCCCTTGTCTGGGCATGCCCCTCCCTGCAGCCGCTGGCATGTATGACACTTGTAGGAATTTAATTATCTTTGAGGGCTTCTTTCTCAGGAGAACTTGAAATTAGCCGACAAGTTGAGTTTAAGAGGAGACAGACAAAGAGTTGAACACATGGTGTGGCTTAATATATCTTATTTTCTGTGAAAATGTCCACAGGGAGGGATAATAACAAAAAGTCTCTTAAAATAGCAAGTTATTATCAGATAGTATTGGATAGGAGATGACATTCTATGCTCTGAGCTGTATTATACCTGGAGCAAATGTTTTCAAGTTTTCACTCTTAAAATATTCACAAAATCAGACACTGGTAACTCTTGAAAATAACCTGCACTGATCCTTTTTGATGCTGGTCAACTTCACCACTTTTAACAGTGCAGAATTTGGAAGGAAGTTGAAGTGATTAATTTATGAGTCTTCTGCTGTGTAACATGAGAATTGAACATGGAAGCAATGTAGAATGTGAAAAAAACATTATAAACCATTTATTTGCGTGTATTTTATGAGTTTCTAATAGGGATGTTGGCTTGTTCATGATAGGGAAGAATGGACAGAAGCAATCCAGGCTGTAGCAGACAGACTTCAGAGGCAAGAAGAGGAGAGAATGAACTGTAGTCCAACTTCACAGATAGACAATATAGGAGAAGAAGAGATGGATGCTTCAACAACCCATCATAAAAGAAAGGTAATGGCATTAAAAAATAATTGACAACACTTAATATGTAAATAACTTGCAGAATGGCCTGGTTGGGTACAACAATATACAGGGAATAGTATTTCTACATAGGTTTCAGTGTATTACAAGCATAAAAGCATTTCCTTGTTTCATTTCAAGAAAGCAGAACTGCTCTCATTTTGTTTATTTGATAGGCTATCTGGTAAGCACTTCTGAAAAGCACAGTTCAACCGTTCAGGCACATGCTAACATTCTGCTTATTGTTTGAGTATTTTCGTCCTCTCCTTTTTGTTTGTTTACTCTTTTAGAAGTATGGTAATAAAATATTTTCTTCAGACAAGATTTGCCCCCTTTCTCATGCAAATAATACCCAGTACAAATTAGATAATTTGCATGAGAAAGGCTAGCAGGATTTGGCTTTTAATGACCTTGGATTTTTGCTATCTGGGAAAATAACTCTGCTTTAGTTTTCAATGAAGTAAGAGAAAACAATGTTTTTTGTGTTTTTCTTCTTTTGCAGTCCTTCACAGCTTTTGCTGTAAGTAGGAGTATGTACATTGTCAGCTATAACATACTTGTATCTCCAGAGTCAACAGGATAAACACACAACTAAGAGCAGTTTTTAAAGATTCAGTGCCACACAAGATTTGCTTATTATTTTGTATTTCCATTTTGTCCTGTGTTTCTGTAAGAATGGACTAGTCTCGAAGAATGGATCATTCAAATGGATGTGTCACATTTGCTATACAGGACTCAAGAAATGCATTGAAATTGCACGAGAAATAATAACCTGTTTCTATAGGACTTGCCTCTTTCTTTCTAGCCAGAAGTGAAACCTGTAGAAAACTAGGTGGAAGTCTGCTGATGGAGCAAAACAGTCTTATAGCTAATTCAATTGAATGCCTTTGAATGATAACAATGAAAAGAAATGGTGAACATGTGCCTTTACTCATAGAGCATATTGCATTCATTGCACTAGATGAAGCAAGAATTGTAGAAAAATCAGTGGCTGAAAACTATACCCTTATGAATATAACAAAGGTGTCAAAAGAAATCTTACTTCTATCATGTCCTAACTTCGGAGAACTTGAGTTTGTAGTGCAGACATAGTTCTTTCATGATGTTTCATTGTATGCGATTTTTCTAACCTTTTTCCCCTGTAGAAAAGTAAAACCGAATTATATACAGCTGTAACAATACTCTCATCGTGCATTGGCAGGTTGGCACTGAACGTTGAGCCTTGCGGCATAGATGTTTAATGATTGTGCGCCAGGGTAAAATATGATAAGTGACAGTAAGACAGAGGCAGCGTTCGAGGTGTCAGTCTTCCTGAGAGGCAGTGCGATTATGTGGAAGGGATTTGGGTTTGCTCTATTAAAGATCCGAGCACTGTTCCAAGCCTGTGTGCCCTCTTAGTGGAGTACAAAACCACTGCGTAACAACAAGCGTTTTCAAGGTGTCAGAATTAATGCTGTCTAATGTAAGTAGTTTATCTGGAATGGATGCTTTCCTTGTTCACAGTGCAGAGACTCTTCTCATGCAACAAAAAGGGTTGTGGGAACAGGAGGAGAAGGAAGATCAGTTTTGTTTCTGTCTTGCCACTTACTCTTTAAGAAATGCTGATATAAGACGCTGGGACAGTGCATGTGCAGTGCTGCAGAATATTTAATGGCTTTGGCAACAAGCCAAAAGCAAACTCTACAAAACAAAGATGAAATGAAAAATGGTCATATTCGACACCTAATAATAGAGCAGAATGGAGTTTTTGTAGCTGGTCAAGGACATACTGATGGCTGTAAGGATTTTTTTTTTTTTTTTTTTTCCAAAACTCAAAATCCCCCTGGAGATTTCTGACTGCTGGAAGACTTTCGTGAAAGGTTCTCAAAAGTTTTTGGAATCAAAAATACTAAGTGACAGCAATGATGGGGAGCTGTCCTTCCTCTGTGTCGACTGAAATTGGGGAAAATCTATATTTTTAGAACCGTTTCTGTTTTATAGAAATGTTTCTGGAAAATGTCTGTTTAAGCTTTTGTAGTTAATATGATCAGGAACCATTTCTGTCATAATGACTTAATGCATTTTTATTGGTTTTTTTTTTTTTTTGGTATCGGATTTCATTTCAGGAATTTTTTCACAATGTGTCCTTCAAGTTTATTTTGTCACCTGATTTTTACATCTAAGCCCAGTGAATTTTGCTTGTGCATGCACCAGATGGTATACATATGAGTAGAAGAGCATAATCAGATTAAGAAACGAGACAGAGAGGAGTGGGCCTGTTCATCTCTAAAAAAGTAGCAAAAGGTTTACGAAAAACAGTCTTTAGGATGTGGAACTTGATTTGACCAGACATGAAAGCAACGTCCCTGGCCAGATTAGCTGGAAGAACCAAAAGCACCTTTTCTTTTTTTTTGCAATTTGTTTAATGGTGTCAATGCATCTCTTAAGTTTTACAGTAATAGCATCACCAAAATTTGGAGCACTACAAATAGTTAGCAAACTGCTGTGACTTCTTGCTGGACTATTCCTTCTAAGTAGGGTTTCTTCCTGATAAAGTCAGAGGAAAACTCCAAGTGGTATAGTCTTTGTGCAGATCAGGAATTTTAAAAACCTACCTCCTTGTTAGGAATCCTGAACACCTGTAGTAGGGTGCATTGCTTGGAAAAGAACATCCACAGGGGACTGAATAGGCTTTACAGAAGGCTGAACATCATACGGTTCTTTGGTTAGTGCAGTTTCCTGTAGCTTCAATGCTTTTCCTTTGTTTACAAATTTGTTTTGCAGGATGAGTAAAGAATATATTTTTTCAGAGGAAAACAAGAAGTAATGTCATGAGGAAAAAGATTCAATCCTCAGAGTTTAGTAGGGATGAAGAAGGTGGGAAAATCATCAAGGAGAAAGAATCCAATCTTATGGGAGCCTCCAAACTTGCTTACCAACATCTCTCAGGCTTAGGAAGTGTTTCCACTTTTCCACCCATTTTCAGTATGATCTTAACTATGGCAACTGTGGTTTTATCTCCCAAGGTCTTGTCTTCTTTGGCAGACTTTTTCTGAGCTACTGCGTATCATGTCCAAGCCTTCTGCTGAACTTCTAAAGAATGCAAGCATCAGGAGACTTTATTCTTAGAACTAACATTACCGCCATTTCCTGCTGTTAAGCCATGGCTCAAATCTTGCAAACATACTACCTTCCTCTTATACATGTATTTTTTAGCTTGTTTTCACTGATCTTGCAGCTAGATACATGACTGCTTTGATGAATGTTATGTAAGCAAGTTTTGAGCAAATGAGTCTTTCGATTTGTCTGGCTTGGTGCCCTTAGCATCCAACCCGTGTCTGTGATAATCGAGCCAAGATCCTCCTGTGTGCGGACAAAAGGCTGCTTTTCTGAGCTGGTTTTATTTAGACTCTGATAGTCCCTCTCTTAAGTCCAGCCTCTCAGAAGAGTATCAGAAGTATGGGAGAAAGTTACCACTTTGAGGCTGCTTATGATCTCATACATTTTTGACTGTTAGAAGTTATTATGATCACTAACTCAGTATTCTTTATCAATAAAGCTGTTGGCCATTCTTTCTTGGGGAATGCAATAGCTTATGATTGAAGGTATGGAGGATTCTGCCCGGAATTACTCATCTTCTGCCTGAATTGTTTTGAATGTATTTCGGGGTTTTTTCATGTGCTTTTGTCAATTTTCACTGCTTTAGCACAAAGGCAGTTGTTTTTCCTTGATGGTTATCATAGGACTATTGCAGTAGATAGCCTGACTTTCCAAAGTACTGACTGGGATATTTGAGAAGTCTTACTTGTTGTTGATAAAGTACTAGTAGCCACATGGTGTTTGGATCACAACTTTACATACTATGTCAGACATCACTAATTGTAACACATTATATTAGTTTTTGGAAAAGTTGAGGATTTGTCTGTGGTCATAAACTTTAACTTTACACTCACTTGTGTGGATTTGCTTTAGGTAAAAAGTATACTGAGCCTTTGTAATCTCTGTTAATCGTGTTTCTTACTAGGATAAATGCAGTTTTGTTCTTCCTGATGTGAGGTGGTTTTGGCAGACAAGATCTGTCAGTGCAAAATGTTTAAGTATATTTACATGTAAGCAAAAAATGGAACTCACCAAGGTTAGTTTACTTAGAGGCTACCACCAACCATTAAATGGGAAAAAAGATTTAATTCCTGAAAAGACTTCTTGAGAAAAGATGACCCTGTGCATTTGCTGCATTCTCAGTACGATGCTGCTTTTTCTGCATCCTCATCTTTGCATCGACCATAGTGTCGATGCTCCTGAGCTGGCTGTGAAATGAACTTGCAGAACTAAGATGATTATTGACTCAATCTTTGTACTTATGAAAGTGGCTAAACTGCTTTGGAATCTGAGGTTGTCTGGTCATACTCCTGCAGTGTGTGACACTCCAGTTGAGCTGATAAACCTACTGGACTCAAATTGCCTGTTGGTGGAAACATCTTTTGGATGTACTACATTTAACCTGCAAAACTAGGGTGATGCTAGATGCTTGAACGATCACTATAATGGAGTCAAGTGAAAGAGGAAAACTTGCCACCTCTTCCTTTTCAGAGACAGATTGATTAATGTAAAACCCATGTAATTGTAATCTGTATTCAAATTTTTAAAAGTCCACCTCTAATGGAAAGACTAAGTAGGGTCTTACTGGTATAATACTGCAGTGAGGATTGTGTATGTTTCGAAAAAGCTATCAGTGCAGTGGTTGGTCTTACACAAGACCTACTGATATGCCACTTTCTTATGTCTCTGGTAATACATGAATTGATGAACTTGCTTAGATGTGGAGCATTCATGAAATGCTGGTATAGGCTGAGACTTTGTTCTGTGTGTGCTTTGTAAAAACAAGTGTGTGTGTGTAGTATACTGTGCAGTACTTGAGTTCAGAGAACTATAACAATATTGAACAATATATCCTAGTGGTTTAAGGATACGGTTAACTATTAGAAATTTGATTGTAGAAGTGTACCTGGTTTTGTAAACTGTTCTTCTTATATTGAACATGTAACAGCATTTGGTTATATGAGGACACACTTGTGTGCATATTGGAACTGGGTGGCATAGGTTTTACTAACCCTTATTCTTTGCTCCTTATAGACAATGAATGATTTTGATTATTTAAAACTACTGGGCAAAGGCACGTTTGGCAAAGTTATCCTGGTCCGAGAGAAGGCTAGTGGAAAATATTATGCTATGAAGATTTTGAAAAAAGAAGTCATTATTGCAAAGGTAAGGAAGGTTATAGTTTTAATTTTTTTTCTTTTCTTTTTTTTTAGAATGGAATAATCAGTATCTAATACATAAGCTGCATTGGATTTTTGCTGGTAACTGAGTTTGACAGAAATATGTGCACATCTTCAGAAAACAAGAGTACAAAAAACCTACGTGTATCCATTTTGCACGCTTTTTTCCCGGTGTCTTATAATCCACTTTTGAATGTGTTGATCGGTTTCACTTGAATTTGATAGAGGAGTAGAAACCTCAAAACCATTATGTTTTCTTGAGTGTCATTTAAACCAGCCGTGGTGCCGGGGGAGAGACTTAAATTTATGTTTTTAGCAGAGAAGAGACTGACCCGAGTTCTGTGTGCCCTTAGCAGCTGCCTCGCATGCATTGAGGCTGGTTGGGATGTACACAACTTGGAGTAGCAGCAACCGAGTGCCCTTTTCTTCTTCATAATCAGGACGTACAGAAAGAAAAGAGGGTATCGCTGCTGCGTTATTCTGATTCTGCATGGAAAGGAGCATCTCAGTAGTCCTTCTGAGAAGGCTTTATAAATGGCAGCAACCTGTGGCTTGCCCTGGGGGTCTGTTTGTTGCATGCTGTGGGCCAGTCGCCAGCCTGACGCCCTTCCCCAGTGCTCTGCTCACCCATGGCACCCCAGGGGGTCATCAGGGGAGTCTGATGTCTTGAGTGCTATCAGCTCCTGTTCTGCTTCAGAAGCATTTCAGCTTGTTTCTTTGTATTAATAAAATAAACCTTACATTTTTGAATTTTAGGGGTCTTTTTTTTGCTTTACTTTGCTGACTGCTACAATATCACTGAATTTTTTGAAGGGTTAAAACTGCTTCTCAGATAACTTTGTCTCTCTCTGTTGAGTGAAAATGGAAGTATGTATAAAGCCAGAGAAATTTTGAAGAAATCAGGGATGCATCAGTTGATTGATCTGTTTACTTGAAACCAGGAAACTAGCTCAGTGATAGACTGGGCCGAACGTGGCACTCCCTGAAGCAGACCAGGGTCTGGTTTTCTGCTTATTTGTAGACTGACAAGATAAAGTGTGTGAGGAAACATGCCTTTCATCCTGTGATGAAAATGGAAGCACCTTGATCTTTTAAATTTGACTTCCTCAGACCTGGAATTTTGTTTTGAAGCGAGTCCTTCTAAATTTTCTTTAGTATGGTTGTATACTGATAAACGGATGAAAGAATAACAAATAGACTATGCTCAGATCATGGTTTTTTCCCTATAGTCACCAAATACCAAATTTTCCACTCCACCTCAAACTGAAAACAAAAGCAGACTTTAGTCTGAACGTAGCTGTCTAGCCCCGTTGGTGTGTAAGTATGCCATGGGGATTTATCAATAACATTTAACACTGAAGATCAGTGCTAAGGATATGGTCACTAGGTAGAACAGATCTGCAGTCCCAGCTCGACCTGTAATGTGATATAACATGCACTATAGAAGGTCATACCCATAACAACATAATGCGCAGCTGAAAAGTGGTGCATTGACAGCTGTATCTAGAAGGCTATACAGCATCTGCCCAGTTCAGACTAAATCTGTTGATTCTAAATTTTCATGACAGATTAATACTACACTTACCAGGGAATTGCAACCAATATTACAAACTTCTGAGGCAATGCCAGAAAAACTGGCCATTGATAGCTTTTTATGCCCCATACGTGGTGAACCACTGAGGCTTATAAATAAATAAAACTTTAGGCTTGCTTTTCTCCTTGAAGTGTTTTTTTGGTTTTTCCCTCAGTGTGTGGTTGTAGTGTATACACTGTGTCACACTCCTGTTCATCTAAATGGCATCATAATTTGTTAGCATTAACTCTGTTGTTGTCGCTGAACTTCCTATTTTTACAAATTTTAGTCTAATTTAAAACTCCTGACATCTGTGTTTCCTTTCTAGTTTAATAATACCTTATCTTGCGAGCATAGTTCAATAAGCATGTGCAGTACAATAATGTTATATTGGTATTATTTGTAGCAATAATAAAGTATAGTGTGACTAAATATATTTACTTCTGCAGGGTTATGGTTGAAATTTGTGTTGCACTAAGTTAGTGTTTAGTTCTGTATAATACTCAGCAGCAGCTTAGTGCTACAGAAGATGGCTAAACCAGCCCAGTGTCTCTCAGGTATTTTAGGTCCAGCCCCTGGTAGCCTTTTCCTGGCGTGTACTACTGGTAGAATTGCATAAAATGGCCGTGTATACATAATGCAAACCTAAATGCCCTGCGTTTCAGGAGCTGCTCGCCATTGCAGCGCCGGGCAAGCCCTCTTCCTCCCCTCCTCCTCCCCTCACCCCTGCCTGGCCCCTGTGCTCTGCAGTCCTGGTGGCATGAGGGCCCATAGCCCTGCCCTTGGGGCCTTGTTGTCACCCCTCCAGTCTCCTCCTTGCCCCCGACGTGCCCCCTACCCTGCAGCCACCCAGATGGATGAGCACGGGTGAGCTTCCTGTGGCACAAACACCCGCGGTGGCTGGGTTAGTGCCGGCCATTTTCTTTGACCAAAATATTATTCTCTCCCTTTGGCACGGTGCTTATGGTAACCTACCCGCTCAGGCTTGTGAAGAGGAGAGTGTCACTGACTCTCTCTTAATTGCCCTTTCTCAAAATCTGGCTGGAAATGGGGACTGGGTGGATATGTCCCATGGATGGAGGTCTGTGTTCTTGGGGAAGGAGGTTGGGCCTGCTCTGAGGAGCACTGTTCACCTGGCCGGTTAGGACAGCCTGGGGGATGAGGAGGGGGTTTTGTGTGGCAATGTTGTTTTAAAGAAAAACAAAACAAACACCAAGCTAAGTGAATGTTTAAAAAAAACAAAAAACTGTCTTTACTTAATGTTAGGCTAGATTAGACTAGGCTTTATAGATGCCTGTCAGTTGCTACCTGTGCATGTTTCTTGCAAATTAACTCAGTCCCCCAGTAGATAGGGTGTTCAGAAGATTCCTACCAGAACTGCAAAGTTGTGATGACTGTGATTTTAAATTATCAAATCCAATAGTGTCATTTATGCTGTCCATGCATTGAATTTAAAGTTAAAAAGTTCGTTTTCAAACAAGAAAAGAAAAAAATAAAATATCTTAAATTGTATCGCCAAACTTAAGTTTGTTCCAGAATCTTTTATCAAAAAATGTGAATTATTTTTCATGTTTCTTTCAGGTTTGTTCATCTTCTAAAACTGTACTGTAAATTTCTCTTTTCAAGTGTGTTGACTTCTTGTGGTTAATTACATAACAGTTTTAAATCTTAATTCAGACTTCTACTCTTTATTTCTCAGGATGAAGTGGCTCATACACTTACAGAAAGCAGGGTATTGAAAAACACCAGACACCCTTTTTTAACAGTAAGTATTAGCAATTAGTTTTAAGTACGTTAACAGGTAATTTTCAAAATAATGGGTATTTCATTATGAACATTGCAAACAAATTTTGAAGTCTTTCTCATGACGATCCATAAACAAATGGTAGCTATCTGGTGTTTATGATATCCTTTACCGGAATATGTATTTAAGAGCTCAGAAATAAAGTTTCTAATACTTTTGTAAAGGTTAACTCACTGAAAACAAATTTACCTGTAGAATGTAACTGATGTGCATTTTTTGTATATGAACACTTTCTTATAATAAAAGTTATTGATTTCACACAGTGTCAAGGAAGTAATTTTTACCAAGAAAACTTAATTAAGAATTCAATGAACTGTTAAAAATAACTCTTTGTTTAACATAAGTTGCCCATCAAGCAACAAAACTCAAACCCCACTACTTCAGTGTCTTTGTTTTCATATGGTTAATACTTAATAAGAGCAAAATATTGAAAAGAAGATGAAAATTTTGAGATTCATGACAAATTATGATTAATAGTTGTAATTTTACAACTGACTTTCTTCTGTAGAAATAATTCTGATTCCACTGCTCAGAGAGTATATTAGAAAATATTTTCATCAATTTCAAGATAATTAACATGTTGTATTTTAATATAGGGGAAGTTTTTTTTCTTACTTGTGTTAAAATATAGAAAATTGTGTATTTGAGTAACTACTTAGTATTTTCTTTTAATAAGCATAGTGTTTTCATATCAATGGCCATGTGGCAGAGATGAGGGAAGACATGGGGGTTTTGGTGTTAACTCATTTCAAGCACCAGATAGGAAGTTACACTTAATTACTCTGAAAGTTCTCACCAAGTCAGAATTGTTTGCTTAAGATGATAAAAATAAATTTTGTTACAGTTTAAAGGCAAGAAATTGGGTTAATACAAGATGGTAACTGGTTTGGTTTTGCTGTTTTCTTTGCAAGTCCTTGAAATATTCCTTCCAGACAAAGGATCGATTGTGTTTTGTGATGGAGTATGTTAATGGAGGAGAGGTAAGTTTAAGAAAGATGTTCTGCATTTCTAAGGGCAATGATATCACTGGGTTACACTTTAAAGGATATAATTTTACTTGACTTTTTTGGTTTCTAGTATCTTTAAAGATTTTATTTTAAAAATTGCTTTATTTAAAAAAAAAATGTAGATGTGACTTAAACTATGCTGTCAAACGTACTTCCTATTCTTGACAAATTAGAGTATTGTATCTTAAAGGATAATTTCATGATAGAGAAATACTTACTTGCGTATTGTTTTTTCTTCAAGCATATTATAGCCTGTTCTGGCACGAAATGGACATAATCTAGTGCAAAAAAGCGAAAATGTTGTTGACTAGTCTTCCTTCTGCCCTAATGTGAAATATGCACTCTCTTCTTTGCTATTGTCATTGCAAATACCTATAAGAAGAGAGTGGAGTGTTCACATTTTTCACTGTTTCTGTCCCCTTCGCTTGCTGCGTACTCTGGAAGTTTCAGTTAAAGTGCTAAACTTCTTACGGTGTCATTAGCCTTTAAGCTGTTGCTGTCCTCCTGCTCTTTACTGAAGAACAGAATGTCAGAAACTATACCCGTCAAATGGAATCAAAAAGAATTGCAATCTGAGAGGGGGGCTTTTATCTACCTTTTAGGAGCTGTTTGCTGTTCAGACTGTCCCTCATTACAGCACTAACTAGGGGGTTTTCCTTCTTTTGTGTACTGCATGCTGCAGAATAACCTTAAAGAACTAAGTGTTTCAACTAACTTTTTTTATTAGAAAACTGTTTCTTCATTCAGGCATTCTTGCAGCATCATGCCATGTTTTGCATTATCCTTTTGCTGCCTTCTCCTACAATAAAACTGTCTTCAGCTCTAATACCAAATGCCTGAGCACCCCCAGAGTGCTTGCCTTGCGTTCATTGCCGTGGCGATTTCTGGGCCCAGTCAGAGGCCCGTTTACATCCTGACTTGTCCATGGCTGTCCTCTACCAGCCGTGGCTCAGCATGGTGCTACAGGGTTCTCATACGGGAGGATGGCTTGTTTAACTCAGTATGTATAAACCCAGTTCTGGACATCACAGGCGTTGAACCCTTTTGGCTAGTTGAACTAGGCACAGAAATCTCCCTCAGCGCTACTGGGATAACAGCTTTCTTTTGGACACTCAGCTGGTTTATTTGACATTGAACTTACATCACCAGTATTGTCAGTGCTATCTACAATGAGTTTTAAGAGTGATGCCTTATAAACTAGCTAATTCTTTTCAGTTTTTTCTCTGTGAGACCTTATTGCACTGTGAAAGTATGTTTTTAACTTCAGCCTGTCATTGAGATACTTGTCTTTTTGCAATGTTCCTTCCTGCCCTATTTCAATGCAGAGCAGAGGCCAGAGAGGATGTTTTCAACTCCTTTCTTTAGACTGAGGATACTCTGATAACCGTGTTTCGATCAGACTCGTGTCTTGCATGCCTCTGAGTGGGGTGATGCACCTTTGTGGCGACTGCTGTGAACACCTTGTGCCATGGGGTTCTTGGTGGCAGCCTGCTTTTGCTTATTGAGATGTGAATGATTGCAATGTACTTTGCTGAGAATGGGTCATGCTTTTCCAGGTATGATGCTCTTGTCAGTATTGCTCATGTTCTTTGCCGATGGCTCCCTAATTCAGTGGAGCAAACCGTGAATTTTTGCCAGAGTGGTAAATAATGGTTTTCTTCAAAGAAACTCTGTTGATTTGCTTGTGTGCTTCTCTTTGACTAGAGAACTGGAATAGGAGTTGGACAAACTGTCCTTTTTAATAGGAAAGTGTTTAATCCTAACAGATTTTCCTGTGAATTTCAGACTTCAGTGACTGCCTGCTAAGAAATACAAAAGACTTCATATTTGTAAAAATAGCCTTGTTTTTAGCTCAGAATTACTGAAAAGAAGTTGCACAAAGTTTACGCAGCATTTTAGCCATTTGTAAGAGTACCTCCTATACAGTACTCAGAATTCTTTCTTTTGCTGCTTCTCTCTACAGTTCTCTCCATGTTCCAAGGAAGTCTCATTTCCTTACCATGGTTTCTCACTGCTGAAGTTGTTGAAAACTCATCGTTTCATTCTTTGCTTCCAGTGGGAAATAGACAGTAGCAGAACCATGTTGCTTTTGGTTCTTTCCAGAGCTGTACTACCTTCAGTGTGTTTCTGTTTAAAATTCCTTCAGATTAAACATTTCTTTTTAGTCAAACAGTTGTGCCTGAGTCAGTTGCTTGGGGGTTTGCATGGATTATGTCTTTCAGGAGCACTTTACCCAAACAGTCCTTCTAATGAAGGAGTTCTTGAAATATGTATCCATATTCTTGTCTCTCACGCAGGTGAAAGCAAGAAAATGCCGCAATCTAGGCTTCTGCCCTACTACAATATTAAAAAGTGTAGTCAGTACAAGGAGTCTTCAGCTCCTCTTCAGGGGTTAGGAAGGAGAACAGTCAAGGGAAGGGTCACTGAATTGCATTCTGGGGAAGGAGTAATTGTGTTAAAATTATTCTAAGCAAGAATCTCCTGTACCTGTTAAAGATGTAGATCCACGTAACCTGTATAATTTTGAGTACTATGTGATTGTTATATGTTATTAGAATCATAGAATGGTTAG